TACCATCTGCCCTTCATCTGCTTGTTTATCCCCAACCACCCTCCTCCCTCACTATGTTGCAGCCACAATAGCCTTTCTCATCCAAATTATGCTTTTTATTTCCCCAGGAAGACGTTTGCACGTGCCATTTCCATTGACCTCAGGGCCCACCCAGCACACGTTTTTTTTTTCTGAAATATAGCACAGAAGTTGAAGTTGCCTTCTAAAGCCCTAAACAAATGTGAACATATATAAATATACCTTGAAAAGAGAAGATGATGTGGACAAGGTGCTTTGAACAGGCAATAGAAACATAATTGGAAGTAAGATTTTTCAGAGGGTGCTGAGTGGTTAAGTCACAAACTTATCACCCTTAAAAATCAACTCATTTGGTTTATTTTTGTTTTGAGACAGGGTCTCACTCTGTTGCCTGGGCTAGAGTGCCGTGGTGTCAGCCTAGCTCACTGCAACCTCAAACTCCTGGGCTCAAGCGATTCTCCTGCTTCAGCCTCCTAAGTAGCTGGGACTACAGGTGTGCACCACCACACCCAGCTAATTTTTCTATTTTTGGTAGAGATGAGGTCTCGGTCTTGCTCAGGCTGGTCTTGAACTCCTGGCCTCAAGCAATCCTCCCCACTCCGACTCCCAAAGTGCTATGATTACAGTTGTGAGCCACTGCACCCAGCTTCATTTGTTTTCTTATTGTCTGTCTTACATTTTCCTTTCCCCTCCCCACACGTTCAACGCCTAAAACAATGTCAGGCATAGAGAGGACCACAAGAAGTATTCATCAAATGAATACAGGGAAGAAACGAATAGTCGGGGAAAACTACCATCATAGAGATGAAGGAAATGTCAATTGGTACAATGTTTATTTTCGCTATTTATATCAACAGTTTACACGTACTTAATTTGTAGTGGATATCTACAGTATTGTTAGCTCGGCACCCCTTCCTCCTCTGAGAGATAGACTGACCCTGCCACACAAGGACATAGTGGGGACTGTCAAATTCTTATGGGATCCAGGTCCAAGCTGATTTGCCCAGGTGGAATAGGTATACAAACCCTAACTTCTCATGCCTAGCTGGTTAATTAGCCTCCCCTCATGAGTTTTTAAGTTTGCATTTAAATTGATAACTCCCAGACATAGTAGATATAGAAATACTTAACACTTTAAGCAGCCATGTATTCCACCTACATCATTAAAGAAGTTGGTCTGGTTGGGCACGGTGGCTCACGCCTGTAATCCTAGCACTCTGGGAGGCCGAGGCGGGCAGATTGTTTGAGCTCAGGAGTTCGAGACCAGCCTGAGCAAGAGTGAGAGTCCGTCTCTACTAAAAATAGAAAGAAATTAATTGGACAACTAAAAATATATAGAAAAAATTAGCCGGACATGGCGGCGCATGCCTGTAGTCCCAGCTACTCGGGAGGCTGAGGCAGAAGGATTGCTTGAGCCCAGGAGTTTGAGGTTGCCGTGAGCTAGGCTGACGCCACGGCACTCTAGCCCGGGCAAACAGAGTGAGACTCTGTCTCAAAAAAAAAAAAAAGAAGTTGGTCTGTAGAGAGAATGATGCCAACAGGGAGGGTCTCCAGGCCACTAACTCAAAATTTCATTCCGACCCTTTCTGTCCTCCTCACAGTTTGGATATTCAATTTATCCTTCCATCAACAGACCCCATATTCTTTCAATAAATTCATCTTTTGCTTAAATTAGTTCAAGTAGGGTTTTGTCACCAAAAACAGAGCACTGATTAGTGCAATAGTCTTTAACCGCTACACAGTAGAATCATCTTCAGATTTCTGAAAAACAATGCCAGGGCCCTTGTCCAAAAAAAAGGAAATCAGAATCTCTGCAGTCTGGGGCCTGAGCGTTGGTAATTTCAAGAGCTACTCAGTTGATTCTTCCAGATATTTCACTTCAATGAATCACTCTTTCAAGAATATTCTTTATAAGCAGGTGTGCAGACATGTATTTTAATCCTTATGAAAGATCTTATGTAAGCTTTTTTTTTGGAGACAGGATCTCGCTCTATTGCCCAGGCTAGAGTACATCATCATAGCGTCATCACATGGCATCATCATAGCTCACAGCAACCTCAAACTCCTGGGCTCGAGCAATCCTCCTGCCTCAGCTTTCCAAGGAGCTGGGACTATAGGCGCATGCCACCACGCCCAGCTAATTTCTCTATTTTTTGTGGAGATGGAGTTTCACTCTTACTCAGGCTGGTCTCAAACTCCTGGCCTCGAGCGATCCTCCCACCTCAGCCTTCCAAAGTGCCAGGATTACAGGCGTGCATGTGCCACCGCTCCTGGCCATAAGCTTTTAAACTTGTGACGACTATGAGACCACTAGTGCTTCTTCATTCCACAGTAACAGCAAGAGTTCACATCAGAACCCTTTAAAAGTTTTTTACTTTTAAAATAAATACTATCTTTAATGGCATTAGTTTAAACTACTTCCTTCCATGGAAGAAAAAAATAAAGCCTTTTAAAACAAAACAAAAAAAATTGTTTATGTCAGGTCACACTCACAGACCTGCAAGATCAGATCCTCCAGAGGTCTAAATTGACTAAGATTCCCGGTGGCATTTTAATTACTCAGCCCTCCCCTTATTGCACACACAAAATGCATGTAACCGTTGTGACTTATAACACTACGTGATTTCCTGGTTTTTACATGCAAAGATTTTTAAAGTAGCCAGAAACTGGTTTTATACCTCAGCACAACACCCTCCTCAAGGTTCTAAAAGTCAAAGAAGACTTAGCTCAAGTGCTATGCAATTTCCACCTTGCTTCCTCACAAGGGGATGGGAGCTGCTCCCACCTTCAATTTAAGCTTAAGAGAGCCTGGACTGTGCCCTCTGAAGTCTCTGTCGCCCAAAGGTCTAAAACAAACACATAGCAGGAAAAAACAAAGGACTGGCCAACTAGCTGCCTATCTGATAAACAGGTGTCCACACTCCCTGGATCTGTGAAGGCCAATGATGTACATTTCACATAGAAGTGGCCTGTAGCCGTTTGAATTTCACTAGCTCTAGGGCCCATGAGACCTTAATGGAGCAAATCCCTACGTTAGAAACCACGGACTAAGGCAGGAATTGAAAGTGCACATCTAGGAAAAGGCATTACCTCTATCAGTGGTTCTTAATCTTGAGTATGTACTACACTTACATATTATAGAAAGCTTGTTAAGACAGCCTGCTGGGGCCCTACCCCCAAAGTTTTCTGGTTCACAAAGTTTGGGGTGGAACCAGAGAATTTTCATTTCTAACAAGTGCCCAGGTAATACTAATGCTACCGGTCCAGGACCACACTTTGAAAATCACTGGCCTACATAAAGAAAATGGCAGGCAGAGACCCTCAGATACAGGGCCAACTCTTCACCAACACCTTGGTGGAAAAGGGGTGGCAGGGGGGAGGGGAGAAGAAAGTGCTCACATAAAGTCAAATTAGCTGGAGGAGAGGGGAGTTAATGAAAGGAGGACTTAGTCCTCGCAGTCATTCGAAGACCCAAATTGACAATTTCTGCCATCTTCAGTGGCTTCCAAAGTTATCCAGTGTATGGCCATCCAACCAGCAAATGGGAAAAGAGAATGGAGGATCATCCAAGAAATGTTTATGGGGCAGCTCTAGATTACCACAACCGTATCTCATTGCCCAGAACTTAAGTCGCACAGCCTTACATAGAAGCAAGGGGAGCAGGGAAATGGAGTCCATGGGTGGTCATCTCTATCTCAGCAGCATGTCTCTAAGAATCTTTGGTAGACCTGTCTCTGCCATCATTGCCTTTCCCATTGTAGGTTTCCAGCCTTAAGCAAGTCTGAGCTTAGCTTTAAAGATAATGTGTAGGGTTGTCTCTATGGTGACAGCCTTGCTGTCCCTGGTCGTAAGCAACAAGGTATCCACCCCAAAAGGCTCTGCCCAAATCAAAGACTCTCTCTTGCAAGACGCTGGCAGCTTCACTGACGATCAACAGAATCAGCCCACGTCACCTTCTGTGGACTGGTTCAGTAAGCCCCTTTCCTATCCCCCCTCTTTTGATGTTAAATGTTACTTTAATGTGGAAATTTTAATCTATAACTTTATATGTTAAGTATACTACTATGTATGGTTTGCAATATCGCCCAACTTGTGAAGTGGCTTGAGCCTGTATGTTAGCAGCTCTGATTACCAATCGAACAGGCCGTACTAAGGAGAATCCATCCTTGGGAACTCCACATAGCTCATGGCTGTGATGATTGAAATATCATTAACAGGAAGTCTGACATTGTGGAAAGACACAAACGTGAGTGGACCTGGTTATCTCTGACCTAGAACCGCTCACAAAAAAAAATGCGTAGCTAATGACATAGATCTCTTAATTACTAAAATGAGTATAACTCAAAATGACCAAAGAACTTATTACCCGAGTGACTTGGGAAAAAAACGACTTACGGGACTAGCCTGTGAGATTCCATCCAGTACAGGGAGAAGGGGCTGAGACAGTGGGTTTACGGGAGCAGTCATGAGGAAAAATAAAGTTCCTGTTTCACAACTCTACTGGGTTCTTCACTATTAACATGTTGCACGACTTCTTGGCGCTTAAGCAAAATTTTTAATGAACTAAGTCTAAAGATTTCATAGTTTCACATTTACAGTTTGCTATCCTTTATCATTCTTAAAGCAAATGATAAATCTCCTTTTCAAGGATGAAAGCTTGCTATTATTGAGGTTATCTTCAAAGTTTTACTGCAACTCCAAAAAATAGAAATGTCTCACACAATAGCAGCACATACTTTGCTTTTTAAACTGATTACTCTTAATGTAGGAGTACTCATTTGCCATGCTTGTTATACACCAAAATTACTGTCTATGACATCTCATAACTGAAGAAGTTGGAGAGTAAAGATTAAAGCCATTTACATGTTTAGTTATACCTCTCTTAAGACTGTCCAAAATCAATTAATTTTTAACTTTTAATAACATATAACTTTTAATACAAATGAGCTATGTATTAAAAAGAAAAAAGACAAGAGGAAAGACATCCTTCACGGTCTTTCATTCATTTCATCAATTAGAACACACAAGGCAGCATCTTTCTCTATAATCTGGTCTCTCCTATGACCTGAATTTTCTCTGTGTTGTTCATTCTGTCCAGTACAATTGCTGCTATCAGCAGCATCCATTGGTTCAGTTTTTACTCTCATCCCTGCTTCTGAATGGGGCAAATCATCAGGCAAAGAAGCCAAACAATTCTGAATCATCTCAATTACTCGTTCCAGGTGCTTCTGAAACCTCTCAGCTGTTTCAAGCCGTTGACGCTTCTGGACCTCCATCATGACTCTCAAGGTCTCCCTTGCTTGGTGGGGTCGGTATTCATTTATAAGATGATGCACATGTACAAAAAGCAGCTTAAGATCTTCTAGTTTCTCTTCTCGTTTTATACTCCCAGGGCTCCTTATCAATATGTCTAAAAGGTCCAAGAAATTAATAAGGATAGACATATTGAGTTTTCTCAGTTCTTTCTTGTGATCGAACTGCATAGGATGAAGCCGTTCAATGCCCTGACTTTCCAAAGGGCGGATGATAAGATCATCACATTGGAACTGGTTGCCAAACATCATATAACTGTCTTTTATTGGAGGGGGAGGCTTGGGAGCTAAGCCTTCCTGAATGTTTTCATCTGTATATTCCTTGATGTATTGCATTGGAGGCGGTGGAAGTGCACTCACTTGCTGTGGTTCACCCATTGTGGAAGATCAAGAACCTACAGAAACAGACAAAAGATTTAGAGTAGAGCTACAAAACAAACCTGTTACATTAAGTGACTACAGACAGAACATTTTCTTCCTTTTCTTCTGGCAGTTTGGAGCCCGGGACAAGATGATCTCCTTAGTTTCTAAAAGTTTGCCATCGTTTTCTAATTAGGCATTATATTCTCAACCATCCACATACTTTTCCTTCTCTCCTTAATACTTTCATCAGCATAAAAAATATGCTGCAGCATATTTTCATCTATAAAGAAAATCTTCTGGATTCCACGTCCCTCACCAGTTATGCCCCATTTCTCTACTCCTCTATAGCCAAACTCACATGCTGTCTCCCAATCTCATGTCACAATCACTTTTGCTTTATATTATAGATTGATTTCCAATAGCAAACACAACTCTAATAAACACTTTGACAAAATTAACATTGCTAAATTCCAGACACCTGGTATTATCCAAGGTTCCTAGATAAAATGATAATCCAATTCCATACCCTTTTGTCACAGTATACTCTATAACTTTATAGTTATAAAACGTTATAAAAGGTATTTCTAACTTTTCTACATCTATTACACAAATTTCAAACCCAAATTCAAACTCAGTATCTTCTGCAGCCACAATAACCTCAATTTACTCCATTTTAAGTCTAGGTATATCATCCAATGAGAAGATTCGCTAGTGCTCTTTCAGAGTGATGTTATCAGAGTTTCAAGACGTAAGACCCTTCTATGGTGGAGCAAGTAACATACTAGAAGTCGTACTATATTTAGACTTTGAGAGGTACTGAGGGCAGCTGTAGGGCAGCCCTGAGTTTCCACTAAGCTACAGTGGTGCACAGGACGATGAAGTCGTCATGGGCAACATGAATTACTGTGACTGTACCAACCTACAATTCACTGCTCTACCAGCCTTCTGCATATTCATTTTTGTCATTCCCCAATCTGACTTCAACTCCAGTAAAACTGCTCAGAGTCATTAAGAATCACATGACTTAATCCAATCACATTCATCTTAATCTCATCAGGCTTTTTCCTCCTCCTCAATGCACTCCCCTCCTCCCTCAACTTGTGACTCTGACATTCATGTTTTCCTCCTTCCTCTCTGGACACTCCCTTTCGGTCTCTTTTATTGCCCCCTCCTCTCCTTTTCTATCTAAACTTTAATGTTGGTGTGCCTGAGAACTTTTTCCATCTAGCAGTCTAATAAGATTGCAAATATTCCATCATCCAACAAATATCAGAACCATTCCTATGTGGTAGGCTCTGAATTCCAGCGGAGGTCACATTCCTCTGTTGCTCCAGAGTGATCATCCCAGTTTCAGAAGCCGGGATACCGGCTGGGACACCGAGGAAGCCTCCTGGGGTGGAGAGCTCCCACTCACATGCTCGCACAGCAGAAGCTACCCTCCTGACCACTGGATAAATCCCTTGGTGCTGGGCCAACACCGCCCAATATAGGGAAAGATCCACCTCCTAGTGTTTGCTCTATCGGGGAGCGGGGGAGTTTCACCAAAAGAAAGGTATTTCAGGGCCCACCCCCAGAGATTTGATTCATTTTGTCTACTGTGAATGGGGTCCCCGGAATGCCGTTTTTAAAATCTCTTCAGATGAGTCTGACGATTAGGCTTAGATCTATGCCGCCAGCCCCGCGAATGAACTCAGCTGATTTCCCAACTGCTACCGAAAGGATGAAGGCAGGGATGGTTATTTTCATTACACAAAGGGCCAGAGAGGGCAAAGGACTCGCAAAGCCATACAGCTTAGAAAACCAGCGGCGCAGGGACTAGACCCCAGGCCTCCTAACCTCCAGTCCGGCTTGGCGTTCCCCACACAGGAAATCCTGGGCCTCCCGCGCTGAGGCCCCTTCAGCCGGCTGTCCACCCCGAAGCCTCCACCAGCGGCGGGGAGGCCGCGCTCTCCGAGTGACACGGGACGCGAAGGCCAGCGAGCGCCTTCGGAGGGCGCTCTGCGCCAGGCCTCCCCCTTTCCCAGCCCAGCGCAGAAGAAATCGCGGGGTCGCTAAGGAAAAACCCACGCAAGGCCGGAGCCCCAAGACGTTGCCGCCCACTCACCGCAGCTCCTAGTTTACGCTGGCAGCCGCCTTCACCGTTGAGGCCGAAACCGACTTCCGTTCTCCTGCTCCAGGAAATAGCTACTGACCCTGCCTTTGATTGGCTGCAAGAGCTGTCCTTTAAGTGAGGTTGTAGTCCCGCCTAAGACCGATCACTTGCTATTGCGCCTGCGTGTAGTCTCCGCCTCCTCTCCCGCCGCCCCGCCCCCTTACGCTGACATTTGGTGGTGGATTTTGTTGTGTGTCTGTATTTTCAATCAGTAAAAGCAGCAGTTAGTAGCGCCATTTCTTTTGTTTCTCTTTTTCTTTCTTTCTTTCTTTCTTTTATTTAATTCATAAAATTAAACAGGATACCATATGCCTTACATAAAAATTCGAAAATGCAGCTAAGCAGGTATTTTTTAAAATTATATCAACTCTAACCCCAAATAACGTTTAAAAAATGACACTTGACTCTAATTATTCGCTGTTTATATGTATATTTTTAAATCTGGAAATATTTGTGAACATAACTGGAGATCAGTAATATTTTCTGAATCTCTGTTTCTTCACCATCCATTCACTCTTATTTTCATTTAGGAATTCAGAGTCGTCTATTATAAGATTTCCAGGCAACAAATTACCAAGTTTAAAAAAATTAGACTTAAAGGTTTCTTTTGGAAGTTATTTTCATAAGTGTCATAAATTTCTAAATTCATGGGAGTCTTAACAAGAGCATGTTACACATTAAAAAAAAAAATTGTAATTCTGGTAAAAGTTCTCAGCTTTACCACTTTAAAAATAAGCCTTAATTTCATTTTTTAAAATTTACGGAAAATTCCAAACATATTCAAAAGTAAAGAGAACAGTATATTCATCACCCAATTTCAACAATTATCTATCCACAGAGATCATCTCCAAATATTTCAGCATGCTTCTTCAAACATTAAAAGCTCATTTTTTTTTGCATAACTACAAATCATTGTCTCATTTTAAAATAAATTGATACTTATTTAATATCATCCAATATTATGTCAGTATTTGAATTCTGATACTCTCGGGTTCCAAATAAGGGGTTC